CCACTGGATCATGGATTACCAAAATTGAGTTCGTAAATGTTCGTAATTGGGTATTATGAATAGAATCATAGGTTTTGGAGTCAATGATGCAAACTGTTGGGACTTGGCATTGATTAAATCCGAGAAAAGTAATAAAACCGCGTTTGTGCAGCGCGGTACGACTTTCTTGCCTGCTTGCAGGACTTAACCGTTTCAAAGACGTGCTTAAGCATCCTAGCAAAAGATTTATCTTTAAATAAAGGTATTCCCTGCATCGCATTAGTAATTTCTTGTAAGTTGGAACGGTGTGTCTTGGTGTTTGTCCTTTACTAATGGCACATCCGTCATATGTGTACCACAATAACCACCTCGCGTTGTAGTAAAACACCGTAGATGCAGGATCTGTGCAGGTTCTTAAACCCTTGAGAAGTGCTTGAACTGAAAACTCGTTTTCAAGGGCACTTGAAACTCCTTGAAAGTTTGACGATTTCGAAAAAGTCCTTGTAAATCCCTTGAAAAGGGGCAAGAATGTACAATTAGCTTGCTTACGATGTTCCTTGAAACTACAATTTTGGTCCTTAAAAAGTCCTTAAATTTTGTTTTTACGTCATTTACTCCCTCCCTTTGTTATTCCATCTTTTGAATCAATTTCTCTGATGTAGGATCATTCCAAAACACTTTCCCCATAATTGTTTTTTAATAGATATCAACGAGTCATATATTTGAACTACTTGAAGTTTGAAAGGCACTTCATGCTAAAGCGAGCRCGAAATCAAGATGTAGTGTGCTAAGTTATTGAATCCCCGGGTAACGAGAAAGAAATAGATTTATAAATCATTATTATTATCATCATTATTATTTCTTTTTTTTGTTTGTTTGTTCTTTTTTAATTTTTGATTTTAAGAGATTGAGATGAACTTTAGAGAGACTGATACGCAGCCCGACAGCTGAAAAATGGACAACTAGACGCGGTTGCGCGACAGGGATCGGATAACCAATGGTAAGAGGGAAAACAAAATGGGGGAAAACCCATAAATGAGTTCAACATGTTAATGCTCAGACTTTAATAACGAAATTTCTGTTACACAATACACGAGATTGTTACATTATCTGTTTGGACCTTGTGGCCCTTTGTTGAATCGCCAGCAGTTCCTCTGGAAATGCCCTCGACCACCACASGAAAAACATGTTGGGGCTCTAGACGCCCTGAAAGGGCCTCGAGGGCCTGGACGCGGAATCCAGTAGGGTGGYGTGCCGCCGTTCTTTAAGGCCTTATGGATTTCCTTGGATACCTCAACGTCATCTTTTGAACCGGTGAGCTTAAGAAGAGTTTGTTGCAAGGCTGGATGRCCTACAAGAGGYCTGGTTTRCTTGAGGATAGTGTTGTACCGGTTGKCTCGTTCAYTGTGCGCATCTCTAGCGGCATCTACTAGTTGTTCCAGCGCGGCCAAAGMTGTGTAGGGGTCGAAAATATCCCTCGGGCGCGTCAATTGTTGACGAAGGAATGCCAGGGCTGTGTCT